ATATGGTGTGGTGGGGCAGGTACAGTAGGGGTGGAGGGAGGTATGTAGGCATTGACAACATTGAGGGACACACCTTTTAGTGTAATTGTGATGGTGTGTGCGTCGACATGTCGGTGGGGTACAGGTAGCCGGGGATGGTGTCCTCAGGTCCAGGTAGCCCTGGTGGAGACAACTCAGACACAGGAGCGGGCGCGGCTTGCGGTGGGTGGAGGACAGGTTGAGGCACCAAGTGTCGTGAAGATGGGGCAGGGCTTCGCTCGGGGGCAGCAGGACACAGCAGGGCAGGCCCGGTAGGCACTACACCAGTAGTGAAGGACGCAGGCGGTGGAGTAGGCCGTGAGCAGGGGGGGCTCACAGGGGGACCAACAGCTTGTGTCAAACCAGCAGAGAGGAGTGAGTGGGTGGCAGGAGTAGGTGGGAGATGGTGGTACAGAGTGTAGCGAAGAGTTTTTCAATACGGTTGGTAAATTCTTGGAAGAGGGATATGATCTGTGTCGTGTCACCGGAGGGGGGTTGTGGGAAGGCACCGGTGGGAGCACAAAGCCTGACAGCGTCAGAATAGAGACGGAGAGGAGGCCCAGTAGTAGTTGATTTAGGAGACGGCCGGGACTGCTGTGTTGTAGCTAGGAGAGGCCAGGCAGAGGCAGGTGTTGTTGAAGAAGGCGTTGCTGGAGACAGAGGGTACACAGGGGTGCAACCGTTCCGTAACCGACGAGTCTGCCTCTGACCTGGTGATCCTCAAATTAATACAGTCCGTCCTTTCGCGTATAGATACACTGTGTGATAACGTGTTTATTGGTTCGAAAGGACTCAAACTATACCATCAGGATATAATAACTTGTCTCAACCTTGAAAGACAAAATTAAGGAACGAGATACAACATCATGTTCATCATTAAAAGGAATTTCAATATATTACTTAAAATCCCCCCCCCCAAAAAATAATAATACAAAAATAATAATAAATAAATAAATAAATAAATAAAATAATAATAATAATAACCTAGCCTGTTGTTTATACCGACACATCTAGAATATAGTGAGCAACGAGGGAGTAAATGGGAGAGGAGTTACAACGTTTGTATATTGTTAGTAAACCGATAATGTCACTCTCCTCTTATCACCTATTCCTTGATAACTTAATTTAAGGATTAAAACACCAACACGAGTCGTAGCTTTAAACTACCAAAGGATTAGTGTGTGTGTGTGTGTGTGTGTGTGTGTGTGTGTGTGTGTGTGTGTGTGTGTGTGCGCGCGCAGTTTAATAATTTCATTAACTAATACTGTGTTAGCCTCCTAAGATTGTATTTACCGTTGTTGTGAAATTATAGAGAATATGATTTTTTTACACACGGATTCTTATTTCTCGTTCACCTTCTCACTGGGCTTGCTGTTGTGGCGTCTCTCATTGGTTAGCGATTCAGCCAATCATATACCTCTATCGTAAAGAATTACCTGTTGGCCGTGTATGGGCTAACAGAACCACTACAGTAATGGAGGAACAATATATAACAGATGACCTAACCTGGGCGGGCTCACTAACTCAAAAAAAAAAAAAATATTAATAATATTAATAATAATAATGTGATTACCCTCCCAGCTATATCAGCCAGGAAGAAGTAATTGAACCACCTCCTGCCTCAACATACACATTTCTACATAAAACATTACTAGAGGAATAAAGATGAGAGTGACCAACCAGCTCCACTAAGAACCTGGCAGGCCTCTCCATACAGTGTACCTTTAGACTAACACAACTAACACTTAACTAACACCTCAAAAAAAAGTGACTACCCTCCCAGTTACACAAGGACCTGGGCGGGCTCACTAACTCCAACAATAACAAATAATAATAATAAGCAGCATTATATAAATAAACCAATATTAATACAAAGGTCTGACGACCCAAGGGAGTAGAACAAAGACAAAACACCAATAAGAAAGATGAAGCGATCTGGTTGAGCCCAGATTCTTTCTACTCCTACTGTATTTCAGTTTCACCACTTTTCCTTCAACTCCTAATAATCTTCTTTCACCTCTTAACTAAAGACTTCGTATCGTAGACCTAAATTAGACGAGATAATGACCTGTGAGGTTAGGTTAGGTTCGGTTCAACTGTTAGGTTTAATTGGTTACGTCTTGGGCGTTCGAAAGGATTTTATCACTTAAGTCACATAATGTCTACCCAGCCGTGTCCGTTTTGGTATACCTTTCCACCTTTGGTCACTCGTCTACTGCTATAAAGATTGTTAACTATATATCCGGTACAATGGAGGGTTACAGCCTACAATTTCAAACAGGGGGATTTCCAACATTAAATAAATAGAGAGATATTCATTAAAATTAACCAATGAGTTAATTTTATCTAGGATTCTTTTTTTTTCATAAACAGTAGACCGACAATGTTAAATGATCACCCCGGCCACAACAAGACGAGGGACGATCGACGAAGAAGCGAGAGGCGTTACAGAGGTCAACAAAGGTGAGGTGAGGGGGGAGGAGTTTGGCGTTCAAACAGGCCACTCAACTCATACTCTATCTCTACCCAAGGTCTACCCATCCTCATCCATCCATCTATCCACCACCGTGATTAATGGTGACCCTGCAGCTCTCACATCCATCATCCAAGTTATCCCCCAAAAAGTTGTCTGGTTGAAATATTAATTATTCTACCTCAACAGACTACGGCTCACGTCACCTATAGTAGTTAAGTAAGGTAAATATACATGTGTTTTACTCCTTCTCCTTCCTCTTACCCCTCTTCCTCCTTCCCCTCTTCCTCTTCCCCCTCTTCCTCCTTCCTCAGTCATTAACAGTATCGCAGTCATTCATACAACATCATTAATAAGCCGTGACGAGTGTTCCTGAAATTCACTATGTAATTATATTTTTTACTGAATTTATTAAGTTGGAGGTTTTTTTTCCTCTTATTAGTTTTCATGTCAGGAATATGAATTAGATTTCTTTTCTTCTTCATAAAGTTGCCCCCTTTTTTTTTTTGGTGGTGGATCAAGGAGAAAATATCCACCCTTTTGATGGGTTTAAAGTATCCGTCATTTCTCACATACGGACTACATGTTAAAATATCTGTTAACAAATGTCCAAAGTAGGCCTATAATTTAGCCACTTTTCTCTACCGTCCAAAACCTAACCTAACCTAACCTGGGTATTCCTTTGGATAAAATGGCCACGACCGACATGTACACATTACTATCGGACACATAAACATCAAGTCAACGATATGTTAATGAGTCCAGACACACGGTAAAAACTGTTGAACACAAACAGGAAGAGAAGAGAAAATACATTGTAAATAAATATTCTCCACGGGTCAAGGTGGAGCTAGTGGGCGGAGGTCTAGTACTACCTGGAACCTGGTTAAATACCTGGCGGCGCTCGTGTATATCAGTGCTCTTGTTCGTCCAGGGAATAGATTTTTTGTTCTCTTGGCGAAACCGAGAGATTGAATGGAGGAAGGGTGAGGGGGAGTCGGAGGGAGGGTAGGAGGGGTGGGGGAATGAAGACTTTTTTTTGTAGGGAAAGAAGGGGTGAAAGAAGATTAGAGGTGGGGGAAGGAAGTTATAGTTCGGAAACTGAAGAAATTTAGGAGGAGGTAAGAGAGGGCGGGCTGACCGCCTAGCTAAGCTAATAGTGTTAGGGTTGTGTCATGGGTTAGTTATTGTCTGTCGGTACAGGCACTAGACATCATACCCTATCCCATACATGGGTGTTTTAAGGGCCTTATTTCATATTCCGCCGACCCTACTGGTGGATGCTGGTCTATGGAGGTTGTCTATTGCCTGGCCGTGTAGATCGGGGATGGTAATGGACCTTTTGAGATTTTGTAACTTTTTGGGAACCATGTATGGTTGTTGTCGTTATCTGGTGGGAGTCTTTGAAGGAGTTCTTGCTCTGATCGTTCTATCTTTTGCCAGATTCTGCTGGCCAGGGTGTGCAGCTGCTGGTTGATGGGTTTTATTCTCAGGTCTTTATGTATCTCGGCTGTGGTTCTGGTGAAGGGATATCTTTCACCTGTGACGAATCTTAGGGCTTCATTTTGGACCACCTGTAATTTGAGTGGTACTCATAGTATGAAGAGGTACTGCTGGGTAAGTTAATGTCGGTGTGATAAATGATGTCACCAGGCGGAGTTTTATTTTCTCAGGAAGCGCTTTAAAGCGGTATAGTTTTCTCAGCTCTCTTCTTGCCTTTTCCTTCCTGGTGTGGACATGATGGGAGTAGCCTGTCGTGGATATATGCAGGCCCAGGAGGGTGCCTCTGCTTTTGTATTCTATCTGGGCATTATTGGTTACTAATGGATGGGTTTTCCTTCTGCATAAGGGTATCACTGTGAATTTAGGGAGACTGGTTTGGATTTTCCATTGTTTTTCGTAATTATTTACCCTTTCTAATTCCCGCCTGGTGTTGTCGACCTGTAACACTCGCGATTTTCCTTGATGTGTTGTTACTTGAGTGATGTCATCTGCATACATTATATCTTCGTTACCTATTCTAGTGGGAGGCGGGGTGTCACTAGTGTAGATAATCTATAGGGTGGGGGAGAGGACGCTCCCTGGTACAAGCAGTGGGTATGGTGAGGGAGAGAGCGAAGAGGGGGGAGGGGTTGGGAGAGGTAGTGGGCAGGTGGGTAATTGAAGGGAAGGGGAGATGAGATGGGCAAGGCAGATGGGCATGTCGGATATCAGTACGTGTGCTTATTGAGGTGTGGCTGGAGGGTACAGTTAGGGGCAAAGGAAAAACGGAAGGTCAAGGTAGGTTTGAGGAAAGAAAGAGACAGGAGGGCATAAGAGAGGTAGACGGCAGGTGGATATCAAGAGGGAGGCGGCCACTTCCTCGCGGGCAAGCAGTCGGCAGTAGCACGTGCGTTTGTTGTGACGGGTCCATGTGGTGGCGGCAGGTCATTTTTTGCCTGGGTGGGGGTGCGTGCGGGAGCAGGCAGCAGCAGGGTAGCCGCACCACTCTTATGACAGTGATGAGCGACACAAGGCCGGCGCAGGTTGTGTCTAGTGTCCGCCGCCGCGCCGCGCACCTTCCCCCTCACTGTCTCCGAAATTTTCTGACGATCTTAGCATGGACATGATCACTTCCTGCAAACTCGTGCCTCCGCAGCCTCGCATGACCAGTAGCTCCTCGGGTGGCAGAGGCCATCACTGTACACCACCATTGAATTACTTGTGCATTTGTTGAAAGCCGAAATCCAGGTGATCTTAGCGTGGATATGATCCGCGTGTTCTTGCCTCCACAGCCTGGTGTGACCAGTAACTCCTTGCTTGGCCCATCGATGTACCACACTGCTGAACAACCTGTGCTTTCGCTGAGAGTGGAAACCCGGGTCATCTAAAGGTGGTCATGATCACTACCGGCCTGCTCGTGCATTCACAGCCTTGCTTGAACATAACCCATTACACGCTATAGAGGCCACACGTACACTACGATTCCTGAATTGCTTGTCCATTCATTGGAGGCAGAAATATCTACCAGTTGTGCTTGGTTCTGCAGCAGTGCTTACTTAATTGTACTTAAATCAAAAGCAAATTACTGTAGTAGCTGTGGTTCTGCAACAGATAAGTGGTGCAAGAAGCGAGTCTTGCGGGATTCCCCTGCTAATAGATCACTGATGCTATGACCGGGGAAAAATACCTGCTGGTGACAGAGTGGGGAGTGAGTGTGGGCAGGTACTTTTTTGTGTGAAGCCGTCGGGGTAGTGCTGTACGGCTGTGGGTTAGTGCTGGTGCCCCACATACCCACCTTGTGCCCTCCGCCGTCAAGAAAATTGCCTGTGAATAATGTGACGTATCAACCTTTTCCCCGGTTACACTGTGCAAAACATGAAGAAAATATTTGTGATTCTGGCAGTCAATGTTATCACGGCTTGGTCAATAAACTGGCTGTAAGTATATATACCATATAAATATATACGTAGTCTATAAATATATATTTCAACTATAGGGAATAATATACGAGGATGAGTTAATCAGAGGAGCCGGGTACCATGGAGCCCCTGAGGTCCTTTACTCAGTATCAAGGTAGGTAAAGCTTTTTCTCATCTGTCTAACTCCTCGAGTCCACCGCCTAATATGGGAGGCACTGGTAGCATTTTATCGGAAATGTTGTTATTACAAATCCTGTACCTAGCTGCTTCGGGACTAGCGTAAACAGGGTCCAACGAATTACCCAAAAGTACCCAAAAGTATATTAAATCAGGGTAACATTTTAACGAATAGCTGTTATACATACACAAAACATGTCTAATAATATTTTTAGTGTAATTTTGTAAAAATAATTTGTAAGATGAAATAATATACAGCGAAAAACTTTCAGTATTGGCGAACGCTAAATTCCAAAGAGTTCGTGAACAAGGGAGATAACTCAGATCTATCGTGATGCACTTCGCTAACCTAACCTAACCTAACCTAACCTAACCTAACGAAAAGTAAATCCTACGGCTATGTTAAATACCCCAAAGTAACAGAAACATCGGTAATTATATCTCCATTTTGGATAGGTGACTCTTTGGAATTTTGCGTTTTTCGCTGTTTATTATTTCATTATTTTGACTACATATCAATGAAAACATTATTAATCAGGTTTTATTGATGTAAAACATATATTCGTTAAGATTTTACCCTGATTTAATATACTTTTGGGTACATTTGAGTAATTCGTTGGACCGGCATAAACACGATTTATTTTGGACAGCGGAGCTAGACACGCTGTCCTACGCTCCCTATAGTAGAGGATGTTCCTATCTTTCTCTCCACACACTTTGGTCATATATATATTTTTTTCAATCTTAAACAGCAACAAGAACAAGATAATGGGAAAATTATAAACGAGAGACACTACCAAGAAGAGAGAGCATGAAGAAGAGTATTTTTTTTTCTCTAATCGACTAAAAAATTCTATTAAAAATATCCTATGATCTATTCTAAGCCATTTCCCAGTTTTATGATGTAACCCGAGTACACCCGAACTACACATCATTCTGTTAGTTATGTACAGCATCGTATTCATATAGAGTTTGTGAGGTAATTTCACTCATAAAATGTGGCTGGAATTTTCTCTTTGCGGTAATGCTATAGTTTAACCCCCCCCCCCAACCAACCCCTCCCCACCCCCACCTTACCCCTACCTCCCACCCTGACCAAGAAAACAATATGTTTTAAATGCGTAATATAACCTAACCCTTCAAGGTGTAATGTTGCCTTGACGTCTCTTATTCGAGGTAATGCCAGACGATTTTAATCATTCACTCAATGGAATAACCTCATCTAATCCAACCTAACTTAATCGAAGGCAAAATTTTAAACTTAAGGAAACTTGACCTATTGGTATTTAACACCGCTCGGATTTTTGTGGGGAAGTGTCTCAGGATTTTCTACTGTGTGTGATATTTCGTTACTGTGAAGATTAGAAAACAAGAGAGACGACAGAAACGAATGGTAGGAGGCGAAGAAGTAACAATAAAATAAAGAGAGAGACATTACTAACACACACACACAAATTGTAAAAGTAACGATGTGAGAGAGAGAGAGAGAGAGAGAGAGAGAGAGAGAGAGAGAGAGAGAGAGAGAGAGAGGTACGAGAGGGTTATGTTTACTGTCGCGGTACACTGTCATCCGGCCTGTCATCTCAGTAGCACACACCTGTAATCACGCCAACTATCCTCTAATTCCACGCGCTTCACACAACCGGCGTTTAAGCCCCGGAACATCAAAAGCTGGACTAAATTACACTCCTGGTACATTACACTGAAAATACTCAAACACCTTTCCCATTGTTCTTCGTTAGTGTAGTGTAGTGTAGTATAGTGTAGTGTAGTGTGTGTGTGTGGGGGTCAACCATATGGAAAAATATGTCATCACTTAAATATGAACACTCTTTATACACTGATTCACCTCTTAAATAGGGTAAATATTATCTCCTTTTTTTATATAAGTGGTGTTTTTGTGTACATTTTAATAAGTCTAACTTAATGGATGAAAATAGTCGTGGCGAATAGGTTGATGCACTGTTAGTTTACCTGAGAGACCAATTATTACCACGCCCTAGTAGTTGAGATGATCTACTAAGCCCCCGACTTAGCTATTAAGATTGGACGCGAAGCCTAAAGGTTAAGTCGGGGCCTATTAGGACTGGGGCCCAAATGACCTGTGATTTTTATTTTTTACAAGACTGATTTGAGATCTACTGTGGGGCTACTGTTGACTTCTAGTGTTCAGTCGTCAATGTTAAATTAACAGAGCGAACACAACAGACTGACACACAAGGAGACAAAGTGGCCGGCACTGCATTCAATCGCTTTAACAGTTCACACTCCTCATTATAAAGTTTAGTCCTGGTACCCATTTACAGCTGGGTCAAGTTGTTAAATAAGGGTGTCCCCGGGCGCGAACAGCCACCATTGGGGGAGGCGAGCGATTCTTTTCATCTATTTTTGTTCCTTCATCTTGGTTACTTTCCACAGGCACCGGTTCAGTCATGTCAGCATTGTTATCCTTCACTTTGTAACTGGGTTTTTCTGGCTAAGTAAACTGTTTTAATATCAACAGTTTGCACATAACTTTACAAACTACTCCCGAAGAGATGTAATCACAAATAAAAAGCAGTTTGGTGTGAACAGCCTCACTAACACACCTGCTCCTGTGAATAGCGTCAAAAAGATTAATAATAATACTTTCTGATTTGCATGGCTTTTACAGCTACAAGTGATGATGGTAATACAACACCACACTGAATATACTGTAGCGCATTTACATTACTAACAAGAGCCATCAGAACAAATAATCTCCCTCCTCCTGGGCCACACCTGAAGTTGAACACTGCTCCACCCAGCTTATCTCCCGCTACTGGATTTTAGAGACAAATGCTGTGTCACCGACGAACACGAAGTTAAGAAGATACGTGTTAATTAGCCAAGCGGATAAATATAATATGTGTTATTTTTTTTGGTCGTATTATTTCCTTTCTTTCTGCTTCAAAAATATTTATTCTGTCTAAAGCCGTGTCTGTCCACTATCCGCAGTCCCGGTCCACCACACCCTCTTCGGACGCCATACACAATTTTAACGATTTTGCTCTCACGTCCACCCACCTTATTTACCCTCCATCACCCAACCTTCCTTTTATATAGTCTTATTTAAATCATCAAGACTGCGAAGATATTAACACCACCATTACTCGCTATATTTTTATCCCGATACTCGACTGGTAGTATATATATATATATATATATATATATATATATATATATATATATATATATATATATATATATATATATATATATATATATATATATATAAGTAAATCACTGTAGGTGCGCGTGATCCAGGTATGTGCTGATAACCACAAGGAAAAAGAAAACACGAAGTTCCCAGGGGTGAGTACAGACTAAGGAGAAGTACACATTGTTTTGTACTTCTCCTTAGTCTGTACTCACCCCTGACGATGTGAATTACACGAAAGCGCTTGGGAACTTCGTGTTTTCTTTTTCCTTGTGGTTATCAGCATATATATATATATATATATATATATATATATATATATATATATATATATATATATATATATATATATATATATATATATATATATATATATATATATATAGTTCCAGTGATCCTTATAAACGCTATCCAAGCACATTACCATTTTTCGATTACGGCCAAAAATTCCCTCAATATAGCGGCACAACATATGAGAAAAGTGATTGGTGTGATCTGTAACTAGTGAACAATATTGCAATTAAACATAAACACGTCAGTATAATTTAAAATAAAAGAAAAAATACTATAACACAACAGTAAATATGAGTAAATAATAATATAAAAATTTCAGCCCCTTCTGTATTTTTTTTTATACTACACAAGGACAGGGCAAGGACAGAAAGGTGCTTACTTACATAACCATTTATACATCCTTCTTACATAACCATTTATACAACCTTCTTTCCTCCCTTATGCTTGTGAACGGGACAACAATACTGTCATATAAATAATCTTTTTATGAGTACGGAGTGAATCGGATTTTATCATATGCCATAAATCCGGCTGTTAAGTGTTAGCTGAATGAAGAAGAGTGGCGTCCAGAATAAGTTTTTTTATTTAACCCCTTCAGTACGGTGAGCTTTATGCAGGAGAGAGTTACGAATTTTTGCAGCAAGCGGTGGAGTAAAACACACCGGTTTGACATCTGTTGTGTGGCACTTTTTAACTGGCAAAATTGATTATGCATTTTTTATATTCTGTCGGATGATAGATGCTGGAAGAGGCTATTTTTGACGCTTTATCCCCACGATTAGTTTAGGACACTTGCACTATTACACACTTCACTCACTGACTGTGACAATTTGGTAATAAGAGCTGGGAGATTTTTACGTATGAACGAAATCAATGAAATGTGGCGCGGGAATGGGAAGTTACCGTTGAAAATCCAAGTCACCGTAAATTTTCCTCTGTGATTTACTTATCCTGCAATAGATAATTATACCAAAAGCATAATATTCTTCAATCTATCAACTCATTATTTATTTGACTTACTGACTAAAACAGAAATATTAATACTACTACAATATATGAACATATTGTATTGTCATCCAAGATAGTGTTCATTACATCACATATTCAGGGATACATAATTTATTAGTATCACCTTTATCTGGATTTTTTTTCCAGAAAGTAAAGCAGAAAAATGGAGTTTGTTTATATAATCGCATTAAAAATGAAGAGTGATACCCAAAATATTAAGATTTACAATTCCAAAATTTAGGCTGAAGTAACAATGCAAATATATAATTATGTACAAACACGTATATTGCATATACATTTAATTCCCATGTGGTGATAGCATCATAAAGGTGATATCTTAACAGATCACATAATTGATTTT